AAAGTACCAAAAATTAGTACCATTGAGTACCGGTACCAGATATTGGTACCAAATCGATTCAAATGTCAAAAGGTACCGATCCCTACCTACACCTTCAACAGAGCTTTTAGAGAAACTGTTGATCAAAACCAGTTAAAGGTCTGCAAACRTGGTGTGTTGTTGGTCGCAGCAGAACACCTGTCCACCTGAAACCCTCTCCTCTGATCTGCTCCTTTCAGCTCCTCTTTCATCGCCTCTTTATCTCCCCGCTCTCAACTCATTACAAGCTCAATGAGCTGGAAGAGGAAGAGAAAAAAAAAGCAGWGTGGAAGTGTACGAGGTCAGGAGACGGAGATTAAAACTAAAAACCCAGATGATTAAATAAAAGCAGGTAAACAATAAATCTCATCTGGCCACAGGAAACAGCTTTCCTGCTTTTATTAACACATTTTTTCACAGATGAGGCTGAGGCGTGATGAGAAAACAAGACCAGACTGAGCAACAATAAAACACCATGAAGGTGTCAGGCCTTCATCAGTACCAGAACAGAACCACCTAATTGGGTCTGTGAGCTTCAACTGCATCAAGGATCAAATATGTGAAGTCAGAACAACAAAGAGTCTGTTGAGCAACAAGACGTATTTAACCACAGGACAGAGGGATGAAAAGAGAGGCGTGCTCTGGAGTCACATACTCTCCATCCTCAGTTTTAACTCTTTCAAAATAAAGTTTAAACAAAGAGAGGAAATCTGATTCTGCAGAGTTCAGACACGTGAATACATTTAAAACAAATCTAACTTGTTCTAAAGTTGAAGCATTTTTCAAACCTCGTAAAATTCAATGATTTCCATCAAAAGAAGAAAAACAAACAGTGGGGTCATTGTAAAGATGCTTCAAAGGGAAAAGAGCATGACTCAGCAGTTTGTGGTTTCAAAGAGATGTGACTCAATAATTATCTTCTTAAATGATCAGAGCAGGCGGGAGGGCAGAAACACACAYGGACCATTCATGACACACAAAACCAACAAGATACGGACTTTTCTTTTTTAAATCGATTCTGTTCAGCGCAGTGGAACTATGGGATAAACTTTGTGCCAGCAGGAATTTAATTTGAATTGCTCAGATTGAATCTGAATGCATTGGTTTGAAAATAAATTTCACTAACATTTTCTACATATRGGTCAAATTAATCACTGCAATAAAATAACTTTGTGTGTTTTTGTCACTTTTACAGTGGATTGCATCAACTCTGTTACATCCAGAAGGGAAACTTCACCAAAGTGAAACATAAATCTGTGGATCTGTGTTTGATTACTCTGCCTGGCTT